GGGAGGGGGGCTGCGGCAGCGGGACGGGACGGGCAGGGCCAGGCGGGGGCGACCGGGCGTGAGCAGCGAGGTGGAGAGACCGCGCGTGCAAGCAGGAAGGGGCGAGGGCGCACGCGCGGCCCACGCACCCGCCACCGCCGCCCCCGCCTCCAGGTCTGCAATGTCCAGCAGCAGCACCAGGTCCACGTGGTTGAGCAGCCCCTCCTCCTGCCGCCGCTCCCCAAACTCCTTGACCACCGCATTGTTGTCCTGCAGGGGGGGGGAGGGGAGGGGGAGGGGCGTGGGATGTGGCAGGAACAGAGGGGCGAGGAATAGAGAATGCGGGCGAGCACTCGCATGCAGGCAAGCTCGCAACCAGGCATGCAGAGGGGGGCGGGTGAAGGGCACGTGCCGAATGCAGGCATGGTGCGTGTGTGTGTGCAGGCGCGGCGCGCAGCCCGTGTGCCGTCTGAAACTACGGGCATCGGCATGCGCGGCCCCGCAGAGGGGCGCATCCGATGGTTGATCCATTGAGTTATGAAGATCGTCACGCGGCGGGGGGCGGGCGGCGCAGTGCAGCGCAGCGCAGCGTGGGGCAGGCACGGCGCGAGGCAGGCGGGCGCAGGCGCAGCACGGCCCGCCTCGGCCGCCCAGGAACCAGCCCCGCCCAGCCACCCCCCCTGCCCTGCACCACACACGCGCCTCATCATTGTCCACCGGAACGCTGTCAGGCACAAGGTTGCCGATGGGCACAATGGCGGCGTCGCGCTCCTCGGACAGCGACTTCTCCAGCTCCTCCTGAGCCTTGATGCGGGCCTGCAGTCCAAGGGCGGGGGGGCGGGGAGGCAAGGGGAAGGGCGTGCGCTTTGCTGTGCCGTGCCGTGCCGTGCCGTGCCATGCCATGCCGTGCTGTGCTGTGCTGTGCTGCGCTTTGTGTAGGACGGGGCGAGAAGGGCAGCGGCTTGGCAGTGCTCCTGCACGAGGCTGCAGCCAGCCTGCCCCCTCCCCTTCCCTCCCCTCCCCTCCAACACAACCAGCCCGAGCCCCCACCTTCATCTCCTTGCTCCGCTCCTGCAGCGCCGTGGCATCCTGCTTGGCCTGCACCCGCACACACGGCACAGCAGCGGCGCACGCATGCGTTGCCGTGCACCTTGCTGCTGCGCCCGCCTGGTGCTGCTTCAACATAACACCCCCCAACACACAGCGACAACGAAAGCCACGGCCGGGCCACGCCGCAGCCACCCCGCCGCCGTCCGCGGCTGCCGCCCCTGGCACAGCCACACCTTGCGCAGCGCCCCAATCTCTTTGTTCAGCTTGTTAAAGTCCATGTTCAGAGTGTCCAGCTGGCCCCGGGCTGCAGCCGTCAAGCAGCCAGATGGCCGGGCGCGAGTCGGACGGCGGCGGGGTGCGAGGCGCGGGCTCGGCGCAAGCGGCAGCAGACAGCTTCCGGCAGGGGAGCAAGCAAGGGGTAGGACGGAGCAGCAGAGTGCCGCACCGACACGCCCCCCACCCCGTGGGCATGAAACAGGCAGGCAGGCGGACAGGTGGGCAGACGGCGATTGAAGAAGCAGCAAGGGTGCAGCACCTTCCCGCCACTTGGCATCCAGCTCCAGCACCCGGTCAACAAGCCCCACATCCTTGAACCGCCGCCGCTGGCTCTCCCGCACGATCTCCGGGTTGCCACCCCGCTCTGCGGCGTTGAGTGCGGCCGGGACGCGTGACGGCGGGCGGCACGGCGGGGCGGTGCAAGGCAGCAGGTGGCAGTAGCGGCGGGCAGCCAGGCGGCCCCGCTCCCACGGCGGCCCTTGCAGCAGCCCAACAGACGCATGCTCCTGCCTGCCATCGCCGTGTCACTTGCAGAAAGCGGCAGTCAATGGCAGCGTGCAGGAAATGCGTGCATGGCGCAGGCCCAGGGGGGCCGAGCACGCTGTCGGCGTGCCGCTCACCCTCTCTGAACAGGTTGATGTCCAGCATGGCGCTCTAGGCTGCTGCACACGAGAGGCCCGCTGGGCTGCCCGGCTGCGTGCTGCTGTGCACTCCTGCAATGCCAGCGATTGGTTCAAGTGCAATGGCGCCACGCCTGGGAGTTGCGATGACCACCCGCCCACATCGCTTTGGCAGGCTCCTACGTGGCCGCCGATCCTGACATTTCAACGTCCAGGGATCGGCCCACTTACTTCACAAAGCTGCTCAGCTGCTCAGGGTAGCGCCTGCCTTCCTCGCTGCCCATGCATGTTTTGCATGTCCGCTAGCCGGCACGCATCGCTGTCGTGAGCACTCTGTTTCAGCTCTGGACACCCTTCCAATACCTTTGCTTGTGCTCCCTTGCCACCAGTAAGCGCCACGGCCCGGCCGCCGCAGTGACAGCGTTGCCCGACGCCTTAGAGGACCCAGCAGCCTCTGTTTCTGATAAAAGTGAGCGTGAACGGTCGTCTGGCATGCACCGCAGCAGCGGTTGGGACCGGCCGGCAAGCGGCGGCGGCGGCCTGGGCGGCAGTCGTGCCAGGCCGTGCGTCCTCCCTGAGTCTCGTCCCACGTGATCGCGGCCCTGCAGGCTACGGTCGGCTAGCCAGCCTCAGAAGGGCCGACACGTGAAGCTTAGGGAGGCAGCAGGGACGTCACACACACACAGCCACAGCCAGGATGCGGAAGAAGGTGGACAGCCGCATCCGCACCCTGGTGGAGAACTGCGTCAAGACGGGCCAGCGCTCGCTGTTTGTCATCGTGGGGGACAAGGGGCGCGACCAGGTAGGGCCCGCCCCGGGCGGGGGGCGCAGGCGGGCCGCTGCGCGGGGGGGCTGCCGCTGCCTGTGAAGCCGCCTGGCACCCCGCCGGACCGCTCTGATGCAGCCATGTCTGCCAACGTTTGGTTGAGCACATGCCGCTGCGGCTGCGGCGCGGCCCCGTGGCCCTGCTGTGCTGCTGCTGCCGCCCACCGCCGCCCACCCACCCACCCGCACCCCCGCCCAGGTGGTCAACCTGCACTACATGCTGAGCAAGACGGTGGTCAAGGCGCGGCCCTCGGTGCTGTGGTGCTACAAGAAGGAGCTGCACCTGTCCTCCCACAAGAAGAAGCGCATGGCGCAGATCAAGAAGATGGCGCAGGTGGGGGGGCTGGCGCGGGGCGGTCCATGATGTATGCGCGTGCGTGTGTGCACTTGTTGGTTGGGGCCGGCGCAGGTGGGGCCCGCGAGTGGTAGGGGTGCAGGCATCGCTGGGCGGCTGGCCTGACCTGTGGCCGAGCCTCGGCCCACCCCCCGCTCGCCCCACCCGCTGCCGGCCTCGCCCCCTGCCCCTGCCCCTGCCCCTGCCCCTGCCCCTGCCCCTGCCCCCGCCCCTGCTCCTCCCCGTGCAGCGCGGCCTGCTGGACCCCGAAAAGGAGGACCCCTTCTCCCTCTTTGTCGCCTCCACCTCCATCCGCTACTGCTACTACGCAGACACGCACAAGATACTGGGCAACACGTACGGCATGCTGGTGCTGCAGGTGCGGCGCGGGGTGGGGGGTGGCGGTGCGAGCGTGTGTATGTGTGTCCAAAGGGGCGCGGGCGCCGCCAGCTGGACAGAGCAGGGCGCGCTGCTGCCTCACAGGCAAACGGCACTGCTGTTCGCCCGCCCGCTGCCCGACAGCCCAACGGCGCTGCCTTGTTTGCCCCTCCCTGCCCCTGCCTCTGCCCCGCCGCAGGATTTTGAGGCGGTGACGCCCAACCTGCTGGCCCGCACGGTGGAGACGGTGGAGGGCGGCGGCGTGGTGGTGCTGCTGCTGTCCACCCTCGACTCCCTCTCCCAGCTCTACTCGCTCACAATGGACGTCCACGCCCGCCTGCGCACAGAGAGCCACCAGAACGTGACGGGTGGGTGGGTGGATGGGGGTGGGCGGGTGGCGGTGGCGGTGGTGGTGGCGCTGGGGTGGCGGTGGTAGGCGCATCGTCAAAGGGCGTCGCTGCGGCGGGCGGGCGCGCGACGCATGTTGGCCGCAGCTGCCAGCGCCGCCCCGCGAAAACGCGCGCTCCTCGCACACGCCCCGCCCCACGCTCACACCGCCCGCGCCGCCCGCCTCATGTTGCTATGCTGTACCCGCAGGCCGCTTCAACGAGCGCCTGGTGCTCAGCCTGGCCTCCTGCCCCTCCTGCATCCTCATGGACGACGAGCTCAACATACTGCCCACATCCAGCCACGTGAGCGGCATGCCCGGCACCCCTGCGCCGCGCCGCCATGCCGCCGCCGTTGACGTCAGAGGAGACGTGCAGCTACTCGAGAATGGGCCCGCCCCGCCCCGCTGATCCCCTGTGCCCGCCACCCCACCTGTCTCTTTTCTCCCTCCTCCCTCTCCACTCCCACCTCCCTCTCCCCTCCCACTCCGTCCCCACCCCCGCTTCCCCACCACAGGTCAAGTACATCCAGCCGCTGCCCACCAACCCCGACGGCACCCCCGCCCAGGACCTGCCCAGCGCGGCCGCCAGCGCCGAGCTGCGGGAGCTCACAGAG